ATTCGGCTGATTCATCCGACAATGACGGAGAATCAGACCGGTTGCAATGGCTGTCCATCGCGGAAGCGAAATTCCGTTTGCTGCAGAGGGACATTACACGGGTATTTAAATTACCCTCCGCCGATGAGCCCCCTCCGCCCGATTACAAAAATTTTCAAATCAAGCGCAGGACGGGCTCCAAATCTAACAATGACAAGGTGTTCCCCATACCTCCGTTGGATCAAATGTGAAACACATCGACAACGGACAAAGTGGTGTCCTTTTCTCAGGCGGGAACGGTTTTATTATTTTTCTAATCCGGCCGAGTTTGTTGCACCGATCCCACCGCGGCATACGCTACCTGGATGAGGACTCGGTTTTTCGGCCCACTCATTACAAGCCTTGCAATTGTTCTCGGCTTTATTATCGGTCATACATGTACATGTATACGTTTTATACACGTACATGTATTGCCAGGCGGGCACGTTAATGAAACGTCCGTCTTCGTTCAGTTGCGAGCCGTGAACTCTGTAGCCCTCTACATTAAACACGGTTGGGTGACTCGAGGACAATGGGACACACCGCGCAGTGCTTATAGCCGTGCGGCGGTGTTTCTTGCTGTACTGAGATCGCTACATTTTTCATGTACATTGTACATGTGTGCATTACTTGTGTATGTACACTGTCCATTGTCTCCGAGGGAGTTGTTCAACAGCTGACTGTGGCCGTGTGCAACTCGTCCCTTCAGATGTGTTTTACGGTTCTCGTTTACGGGGTCTATTCGACTCTTGCAGGCATGTTGTGGATCACATTCGAAAGATTGTGCCTGTATTCAAACTGCCTGCTGCTCTTCAAGCAATAATGGGATCATTACCGTTTTCCGTTAGCGAAATTCGGTATTTTTTGTTGTTGTTGTCACATCTTCCCTCTTCAATGCAGCTAAGTACAAGCTGCCAGCAGTAGAGGGACCCCATTATTCAAGTGGCTCTTCGTAAATAATACTTGCAGAAGCTTGAATACACTTTGCAGTGGAATAATAAAGTGGGTTCGGCGATACGCGTTCAGCCTCCCTCTTTACCCTCATTAAGTACATTAGGTTTAATGTTTTAATCTTGACTCGACAGTCTTAGCGGACGTGTTGACCGCTATTTTCTTTATCAATTTCACAGTCTGCACTCAGTACTCTATAATTTTACACGAGTGCAGACCCTAGCAATCTTGGCCCGCCGGGGTAACATGATTGATGAACTGTTTCTCCCGTCAAAGGGCGCCCGCCAAAGATTCGGGTCCCACCTTTTAAATTTTTAACGGACAAAGATCTTTTCTTTTGCGGTGGATATCGATGTTTACATCCATATTGGTCGATGTCGACTACATGTGGGCCAGCGCAGGTGAAGAACAAACAGTTTGTTTTCTCAACTGCATACCTCTTGAAGATGGCCCAGATGTTTTTGTGGCCGTGCTAGCAACATTTGCTGTACGCCATGCCACATAGGATAATGTAACAACGATTTCGATTCGGCTTCAGTTGTTTTGATGATTTCCATAAGTGACCTACCTGACTCATGACGACCTCCACCCATCTGTCTCGTAGGAGCTCGTCAGAGAGATTTTGAGGCTGACATCAATAACATCGGGCCAGCACAGTGTTGCGCCCGTCTTGTATTTCCCTTGGAAAGATGTTGATGAGATTTAGTCGACTGTCTAACACATCAGCATGGGGAATGAGCCCTGGCCTGAGGGGTACACAACTGCAACTCATTTTCAGGCCAGAGCACTGAGAATTTCACGGTTTTCAAACCAAGATTCTCGCTGCAACTTCATGGTGGCTCCATCCAGCCATTTTTTCGCCTCACTCCTGGCCTCTGCTCAGATAGTAAAGGCGATATGACTGCGCCGTGGAAACAAAGATTGGTGGCATTCACCTATTTGCTTGTATCGGCCCAGTCCTCACTGCATTCAGTGCAGGCCATGACCTGACTTGTGCAGTACCTCCTGTGATTCGGCGTTGCCAACCTCACAAGGGTGGGCCTCTCACAGATTGCAGCCTAATTCATTAACTGTCATGGCGAACATGTTACCCTGCCAGTTAACGGCCCACCACACGCATCTAGTGGCGGATTGGTGAGGCCCTGTGTGTGAGCATCATTCAAGTTCCATTAACATACTTGAGATGCTGGCAGTCTCGGAGAAACTGCGATGTTACTTCTATATTCGGTGTTGTGCCAGATGATCCTGGTTCGATGTGACTTTGACACAGTTGTAGTTTACATCGACGACCAGGTGGGTGTGGTATTACTGACAAGGCTGGAGAGATTATATATATCGGCTTCAACACGGAGTGATTTATTGACAATCGTCTGATCGTTTTACAGGGAGGTTTCACACATAACACACGAGTACAATTGTGTACGTTGCATACGTAACCAAGGATAGACATGAATAGACTTGTACCAGTCATGCGTTATATCACAACACCTTCCCCCTAAAGAAAGTATTTTTCTTAAAACTTTTTGTTTGTTTTTTTGTTTTTTTTGTTTTTTTTTTTAGCCTTAAACTTGAATCATTCCAACAACTTTTGATTCTTTAATAAAAATAAAACATATCAACTGTCTTAATGCCTTTATCCTCCTTTTTTTTCCTGGAAGGGCCGACTGATCATGCACTTTTCTGACTGAAATTTAGGACGACTAATGCAGCTGATCTAAACATGTTTTTTTTTGTTTTGTTTTTTTCTTTTTCTTTTTTCTCGAAAACTAAACTTACAAGGTTGACTTAAACCTTAAACTAAACTTATAGTGTTGACTGAAACCCAACATTTAACTGATCTGGTTGAGGTATGTTATGTGAGTCATAGCTAAAGTGTTTAGCACGATAATGCTCATGTTAACAGAGTTATAGTGTTTCTATCAGACGTTCTGGGCGCCTGATGGTGCGGGTGGATCTTCTCAAAGTTTGTTCCCGAAGTGATCGAACAGGTGTGGCATGATCCTGTTTAGCTGGCTCTTGTGCCTCAGTCCCAACCAGATGTTCAGTGGCTAGCTGTAGAGCCAGTTCCTCCTCCAGCAGTTCAGGATCAATCGATGTCTGGTCCGGGGTACTGTGTCCTTTCGTATGGCTCCTCTGTTGCGACGTAAGATCCAGCCAACGTCAGTCTTGATTTCGTAGGATCGGGGTGCCAGCTTGCGGAGAACAGTGGCTCTCACTGTCCATAGTCCTGTGCGATGGTCTTGCACCCTCACTCTGTCCTGTGGGTGAAGTGGTTTCAGCGGATGTGCATTCCTATCATGCACCTGTTTTTGTTGTTTTCGTCTCAGGATCTTGTCGGAGACCACACCTTGTTGCACCTCTGGCTCCAAGCGTTGTGGATGAACAGGTAGGGTTGTCTTAACACGCCTGTTCATTAGCATCTGACTCGGGGACAGCCCATTTTGGAGTGGCGTAGAGCGATAGGCTAACAGAGCTTTGTGAAAGTCCTGTTTTGTTTCCTGGCACTTCTTGATCATGTGTTTTACAGTTTTGACAGCACTCTCTGCCAAGCCGTTGGATCTTGGGTAGTGTGGGCTTGAAGTATGATGTTCAAATCCCCAGTCTTTAGTGAAGTCTGCGAATTCTCGGCTGCCAAACTGTGGTCCGTTGTCTGAAATAACCACATCTGGCACGCCATGTCGAGCAAACATTGATTTCATGGCATTGATTACAGCTTTGCTTGTAGTGGTGGTTAGGGTTACCACCTCTGGATATCCCGAGTAGTAGTCACAGACAATTAAGTACTCCTTTCCTTTGACGGTACCAATGTCTGCTCCAACTCGTTGCCATGCTCGAACTGGTATCTCATGTGGATTTAGTGGTTCCACGGTTTGACTGGGTTGATGTTTCTGGCAAGCATCGCATTGGCTTACCATGTCGCTGATTTCGGCGTTCATGCCTGGCCAGTAAACGACATCACGGGCACGACGGCGGCATTTCTCTATTCCCATATGCCCTTCGTGAACCTTGAGCAATACATCTTTGCGCAGGACTCGAGGGATAACGATTCTTGTACCCTTGAATATGACATCCTCGGCCACTGTCAGTTCAGCTCGAATATTCCAGAAGGGGCGAATGTCACTTGGACATTGTTGGCTCGCCTCTGGCCAACCCTGTAGTATTACCTGCTTCAGGTTGGTCAGCTGGTCGTCAGCTTGAGTAGCTTCACGTATCTGCTTCATTCTGTTGTCAGATACAGGCATTGTCTCGATGATCATGTCTACAAATGCCTCGACGACATCATCAAGGCTTTGGACTTGTGCTGCTTCCCCTTGATCAGCATTTCGGTCTGGTGCACGCGATAGGGCGTCTGCGACCACCAGTTGCTTCCCAGGGGTGTAGACTACGTGCAAGTCATACCTCTGTACCCTGAGCAGCAACCGTTGCACTCTGAGTGGGCAATCGTTCAGTGGCTTCTTAAACAGACTGATGAGAGGCTTATGGTCCGTTTCGGCCTCGACCGTAGCTCCGTAGATAAACTGATGAAAGCGCTCGCATGCGAAGACTATCCCAAGAAGCTCCTTCTCTATCTGCGCATAGCGAGTCTCTGCGCTTGTCATGGCTCTCGATGCATAGGCCACGGGCGACCACTTGTCGTCATGAAGTTGCAGGATCACTGCTCCCAGACCGTCCTTACTTGCATCGGATGACAGGCGTATTGGGCAATTTGAGTCATAGTACTGAAGAACTGGGTCCGTAGATACTGTAGCCTTCAGGTCGCTCCATGCCCTCTCCTGTTCTGGACCCCACTGCCATTCATTGTCATCTTTCAGCAGTGCTCGAAGCGGGGCTGATTTTTGCGAGAGTCCCGCGATCCACTTGGCCAAATATGTTACCATGCCCAAGAAGCGCTGAAGCTCTTGCTTGTTTTCGGGTTTGGGCATGTTGTTGATCGCCGCGACTTTTATCACCAATGAATGTGAGCTGTGTGACGCCAATTTCACATTTGCTTCTGTTCAGCTTCAGGTTCACTTGACGTGCTGTTTCAAGTGTCAGTCGTAGGCTGCGATCATGGGCCTCTTTGGTTGCTCCATAGATGATGATGTCGTCAGCGAAGGTACTGACACCATCGATTGACTCGAAGATTTGGTGAACAGTTTATGGTAGACCTCTGGTGCTGATGATATGCCGAACGGTAGTCTCGTATATCTGAACCTACCGAACGGCGTGTTGAATGTACACAAGCGACTGCTTTTGTCGTCTAGTTGAAGCTGCCAAAATCCTTGTGATGCATCGAGTTTGGAGTAGTATGATGCACCAGCGAACTGTGACATGACTTCTTCTCGTGTGGGCATTTTGTAGTGCTCTCTTTTAATGGCACGATTGAGATCTCTCGGATCCATGCACACACGAATGTCTCCATTCTTTTTCTTGACAACGACTAGGGAATTTACCCAGTCGGTAGGCTCATCCACTCTGGTGATGACGCCAAGACTCTCCATACGTTCAAGTTCTCTCTTTAGACCATTATGGAGTGCGAATGGTACTTTGCGGCAGGCATGTACAACTGGCTGAGCTGTCTCATCAATGATGATTGTGTGCATCCCTGGCAAACAACCCAGTCCTTCGAATATGTCACCGTATTCGTGTAGCAGGTTCGCGTAGTTGTCGTTGGGGTTTGGGTTGCTCCTGATTCGTGACAGCACAGGCTACTTTGACAAGCCCTAACTGTTCGCAAGCTTGTCTGCCCAACAGTGCTTGTTTATCACCTGGGACGACGAAGAACAGCATTTTGTGTTTTCGTGCTGCATGGTCCACAGTCACTACACACTTGCCTTTGACGATTATCTGGCTGTGGTTGTAGGCTTTCAGTGTCTCTGTGGCTGGGTGTAGTTGTGGCTTATTTTTCAGCCGACTGAAGTCTGTCTCTGTCAAAATGTTCACCTGTGCCCCTGTATCCAATTTGACAGGTATGATTGTACCATTCATAGCGAGGGGAAATATCCAGTCATTTGCTTGTGTCTTGACTGAATCTACTGTAATGGTGTCAAGAAAAAAGTCAGTGGACTCGTCATTGTCTACTGTGTGCACTTGGCCCTGTGCGCGTTTCTTGAAGCAACACTTGGCAAAATGATTTTTGCCTCTACAGTAAGCACATGTTTCACCGTACGCTGGGCATTTTCCCGAGACATGCCAGTTGTCGCAGCGTCTACAGTGATGTTTGTCACTAGTTTGTGCTGCTGTTGATCATTTCTGGGCTTCCAGCGACTGGGCTTTCCTTTAGGTGCATTCTGTGGCTTAGCTGTTGCCTGGGGTTTTCTATTAGCTCCCTGCGGTTTTGGTTTTGCAGATGGATTTTTCTGCACGGCATGGACTGTTGGAGTTGTTGATTGTAGCTCCTTTGAACGCTCTTTCACTAGTTCAGCAGCCTTGCAGATTTTGACTGCTTTTTTCAAGAGTTAAGTCTTCCTCTCGAAGCAGGCGTTCTCTGGTTACATTAGCGACGATGCCACATACCAGTCTATCTTTGACCAGCGAATCCTGTAGTGTGCCAAATTCACACTTTTTGCTGTGCTTTTTCAGTCTAGTGAGGTACGCGTCAATGCCTTCACCAGGTTGCTGGCAACAGTTATTGAAGTGAAATCTCTCCAGTGTCAAGTTGGTCTTGGGGGTGCAGTATTTCTCTAGTTTGGCCATTACTTTCACCAGGCGCATGTTATCCCCTTCCTGGTCGCCCTCTTCATCCCATTTGAATGTATTGTAAACGTCAAGGGCTTGCTCACCGATAACATGTAGCAGGATCGACGTTTGTTGTCTGTCGTCCTTCTTCGATGCCCCAATTGCATCGATGTATAACTGAAAACGTTGTTTGAACCTTTTCCAGTTTTCCGCCACATTACCGGTAAGTTCAAGTGCGCTTGCTGGTGGCGGCAGTACATCCATCACTGCAAGAATAGTTTATCTATTTTGTGCACACAGTAGCCGAAAGCAAGTTCACACACAGTGTAATGTTTGTACGATAGGGCCTACACTGTAGCATGCGGTATTGTACAGTACGTAATACACACGCTGAATGTACGTGGAATTTTCCAGAATAAGCGACAGATAGTCAGCCACTTTGCACCTATTTTCGCTGGTTTTGCAGTCACTGTCTCTACTGAAATACCTGTTCAGGTGAGTCCCAAGGGTCCTTTAATACTTCTGACACCATGTGGTATTACTGACAAGGCTGGAGAGATTATATATCTGCTTCAACACGGAGTGATTTATTGACAATCGTCTGATCGTTTTACAGGGAGGTTTCACACATAACACACGAGTACAATTGTGTACGTTGCATACGTAACCAAGGATAGACATGAATAGACTTGTACCAGTCATGCGTTATATCACAACAGTGGGCAGGCAGCCTGCACACCTGTGTACAATCACTTGAGAAATACCCCATTGGGGTTTTTTCCTCATAGCTTCTTGCTTTCGACGGTCCTCCTCCCAAGCAAGGACAACTAACCACATGTCAATCTGACTTGTTTCATGAACTAGTCACAGATTTCCAGGCTAATGCCTGAGGGTTCCTGACCCCTGTACATGTACATGGCACGCGAATACGATGGTGATGAAGACGGACAGGCTACTTATATACACCTTCCTGTCGTCTTCCTCTTATCCATCGGGTACTTAATCAACTGGAGCAGAAGGATGACAAGGTCCTCTTCTTAACTCCATGTTGACCTCATTGATTGTTTTCCAGGGTTATAACCATTCCCTTAGTTCACCAGTGGAGGTACAAATGTTCTTCCGAGCAGAACAATATCTCTGTTCCAGCACAGCTTGGTTTTCTTCACCCAGCTCCGCAGGAA